CATCTTTACCTTCAATAGTCCTTCAGCACTTACTTATAGCACTGCTTGAAATTATTTATCATATTTAACTTTAAATGTTAGAATGAAAAACAAAAGAAAGCAAAGTCAGTGGAAATATAGAGCCTCTGGAATCACAGATTCCCTAAAAAATAAAAATCCTTTGTCTAAAGAGAGGAGGTCTGTATTTTATAAGTTCATCACTGACTTAAAATGTGTCCAGAACTTTCCAGGTGACCTAATGCATTTCTAAGGAAGCCAATTCTTTTTCTGATTAGAAATTCACAAATTTCTAAACACACTACCACCGTGTGGTACCAGGTAAAATGATGCCAGTACTTACCATCTGAAGAAATGACTTTCACTGTCCACATCATTTTTAAGCCCCACATTCTTTCCTAACCTTGTCACGAAGCAGATGAATTACATTAACTTACATGCAAACGGTTCATTTGCAGTTTCCAACCTTATGGACTTCAAACTCTCTCCCAATCCTAATGAGAATCCTCAGTTATATTCACTTCTGTCTATGTTGTACATTGTGTCTTCAGGGGCTGACTCATTCCACACTCTACTCATGTAGCTTATCATTATCTTGTCCACAGACAAAATTTACATTGAATTCAGATGAGAATGCCCACTAACTTGAGAATCTTGAGAAAGGTATCAGGATTGTGGTCCAAACAACATGACCACCAGGGACAATATTACAGCCAGTGTGTAATTATTTTCCCGCTCTAGAAGTACAAAGTAGAAAACACAACAACAACAAATTAGAGTAACTCCTTATAATGCATTTCTCTTAGTAGTTTATTTTGGGGGGGATTATTCTTCATAGAAATTGGCAAAATCTAGAAAAACTCTGTATGTTACTCTAACGGCTTTATTTAATAATAATTATATAACTCACTTCCCCACTTAATAAAAATTTCTCACTTTCTCTTATGTTTATTAAATTTTAAATTACTTAGGCATTTGTCTAATTAGCTTCACTTTGAACAAAGATATAACCTGATTATTGCATGTTGTTAATATGAAAATGAACAACAGAGACCTTTCTGATTGAACGTTTTTACTGTCTACCTCAAGACAGGTGTTCTACATTATACAGACGTTGCAGACAGAGGGCTTCTTATGTTTTACGCACTATAACATTAAGATATTACCCCCCTCATTATAACATTCCAAAAATTATTAGTGCTGCCTCTGCTATCTACATTTTAAAAATACTTAACCTTCGGTAAGTTAATCTATTGTGCTTATGTCAAAATAAGGAGAGAAAACAACTCAAATTTTCTACCAAGTTCAACCAAAACTTCCCGCTTCACTTAGTTGCCGCAATTCTGGAATCAGACTCCAAGTTTATAAAAGAAAAACAGAAATTCACTAGGCAGAGCTTCAAGTTATAATATCTTAGGAGGATGTTAGTTATTTTATACCTAAAACATTTTACAAGCTCCAAACCCTCCACTAGAACAGTATTTTAGGAATCTGAAATTATTCCTGCACTTCTCACCACCCAAGAATCTGACAGCTTGTATGAAAAATAGTATGTGTGCAGCAACTCCTTGGTGAGTATTTCCTTTAAGTTTTAAGGCATTCAAATGATTGAGTCTTCTTTCTAAGAACTACTGAGGAGGTTTATGAAAACACATAGCAGACTATTCATGTGTAATTCTCTCACTGAAATCGATTGATTTCTGTTAGTACAATACATTAGGACTAATTAAAAATACCATATCCAGCAGCCAGTCTGTACCTTTCCATATATCCTTCTCCAGTATCCAAAAGCATGCACTGCTCTGTCTTCCATCATGCTTCTTTTATTGCTGAGTGAGGCGCTCGTTCCTTCATTAAATAGCATTAAAAATAGACAGCACAGAACTCCCCAGTGGAGCATGCTCTAACAGGGCTAATGCCACAGTTCTCAAGGTAACCATACTCAGCTGGGATCTAAGAGGGAAAGTCACTGGGAGATCAGCAATTAGCAAATCTAATAGCTCACACAAACCTGTCTCTGTCTGAGTTGAATACTGTAAAAGAGAAATCAGCCTGTAGTGAAATTAAGTCACTGAGAAGCTCAAAGTCAATTTCTGAAGCTGTAGAAGTTTCTTTAAATATGCCTTACCTAAACCAAGTATTCTGTTAAGTAGGCATTCACCTACAGCAATTGATTTGTATTATTATTTATCAAATAACGTAAGTCATGTCAAGAGGAACGGAGCCATATATGCATAGCATCTAAATGTCTTAAAAACTGCATATAAACCAAATTATTCAAAGCAAACAAATAGTATTGATAAGCAAGGACAGTAAGAGGTTAGCCTTTTGAATCTTTTGTGATGAAGTGTATTCCTTAAAGAATATCCTAAAATTCCCCAGAAAATTTAAAAATATTCTGTTAGTTGAAATGATAAAAAGAAGTAAAGGAATGGGATAGAAGAGGAAATACGGGATCAAACACAAATACATACCTTACAAATCCATATTAAACCTGAAATGAGCACATATATAATTTTTCACATGTGATCCACGTTAGGAGTGCAGCAGAAGCGATTACTTTACTTGGCTATTAGAACAGAACATGGCTAGAGCTCTTGGCTTCCAAATGACTGTCTTTTGTGAAAATGACATTAACTAAAATCCTATTAAGACATACAAGTCCCATGGTGGCACAAATACAGAGGATCAAAGGAGTAGGTGCATTTATTTTAAAGTGTATGTCAAAGGTTTTCTAACTTTTACCAAAAGAAAAATGATTTCCTGTCATCTCCATTTCTGTTTTCTTAAAACAATCATAGTGATTTTGATCTCCAAAGTAGGTGAGGAGGAGGTGGAAATCATTTGGAATTATTCAGCATTTGAGCAAAATCTTGTACAGATTCATTCAACTTTGGGGAATGTCATTCTTTTTGGAGAGTCTAAAGTGTCATACCATTAGCCTTTAAAAATCAGAAATCAAAATGGGTATCTGCACTCTGAACACATTCTCAAGAAATGATTTCTACCAGCCTTGCCCTTTGCTTACTAGCTTCCCATCCCTTTGTAACTTTCAATGCCCCCTTTGCCTTTCCTTTTAGGCTTGGTCTCTGTCCTTATCTTGTATCTTAAGGAGGTGATCAAGTGCTGAGCCTGAGCAGCTGTCAGCAACCACATCCACTCCAGCTCTATTTCTATGCATAAATATTAACTGAGTCCATTTCTCTTGCTAAAAAACTTTCTAAATATATGATCAATTCAGCTCAATTCCACCACCATATCTACAACCCAAGACAGAAGTTAAGTTTGGAGTTTGCAATGAAACACAGATTTCAAAAACATGTAAAAATAAAACGTAGTATCTTTTCCTCCAAAAGCCCTTGGGAGCCAGACCCTGAGTTCCGCAAGAACAACAAACTGATTACAACTTTTTTGCCTCTTGCATAGTTCTCTTTCCAATGAAATAGGAGGGTCCCAAACTTTCTACCGTGAAACCTGCCTAAATCACTGTAGACTTCTCTGATGAAAAGAACTGCCCTTCTCAGTTCTCTTCCAGCTTTCCTGGTCACCCTCATCTGGGGGAGGGGAGTCTACCCCTCCGTTGATGAAACATAAAAACACAATACATGTATAACATCAACAGTTTTCTACAAACATGAAGGAGAAATACAGACGAGAAACAAATCTAAAGAAAAACACAGATATACGGCAGAAAGGAGGAGGAAAAAAAAAATCACAAAAGACGTGCAATGTTCACGTCGGAAGACCTTGATTATTACCTTGACCGAACAGTGGGTATCCCCCCAGCGTCTTGGTGCCTTGATTGATTTGATTTAGTTTTTGATTTTTATTAATATTGTTTCTCAATGATTGAATTGGCTGGATTTGTTTGGTTTAGCTTGGCTTTTTTTTTTTTTTTTTTTTTGGTCGATTTATTTAACTGCTAGTAAAACGAGCTTTCTGCAGCGTCGGCGGCTGGGATCCACGCGCGGCTGCGGCGACCGTGGTGGCTTTGGCTGACGACCCCGCTGCCCCCGCTGCTTGTCGCTGCTCCGGACGAGCTCAGGGGGCGCCGCCGCCGCCTCCTCTGCCCGGCTGGCTTCGGGAAGTGAAGGAGCCCCCGCCTCCTGTCTGCCAGTCTGTCCCTCTGCACGTCTGTCTGCCTGACTGTCCCTCAGCCGGGCAGCTCAGCGCTGGATTCTCGCTCTCCTGCGCTCTGCTCTCGGAGCTGCCACTCGCGCCGGCTGGCAGTCGGTGCGTGTGTCGGTCTGTCGGTCCCTCGGCGTGTCTCGGTCCCACTAGCAATTCAAGGTCCCTGTTCCGGTCTCCTGTGCCGGGATCGCTCTCCAGCTCCCACTCAGTGCCCTGGCCTCTTCCTTCGGACAGCGGAGGGCGTCTGGAGGGGAGGATGCACGCGAGTGCTGCTCGCTCTCTCTCCCTCTTTCTCTCTCTCTCCCTCTCGCGCCCTTTCCCTCTGTCTCTCTCCCTCTCTCTCTTTCTTTCCCTCTCTCTCTCCTTCTGCCTCTCCTCAGCGTTCTGCTCTCCCTGACTCAAGCTGTCTAACTGCTTCCACCTGTCCGTTGCTCTGTCACTCTGTCGTCCCACCCCGAGCCAGCCAGCCTCCGTCCGTCCCTCTGTCCCGCGCCCCTGCCTCCCCTCCTCCGCCGCCTGCCCCTCCGCCAGTCCCTGCCCTCCCACGCGCCCGGCTCCTCCCCGCAGCCCCGGCTGCATCCGTCCCCGCCCCGGCCGCAGCCTCCAGCCCCCCGGACCGCCACACCCGGGAGCCGGCTGGGGCAAGGCGCCTGCGGGGGCCAAAGCCTCTGCCACTGGGCGCGGCCAGAGTTGGCAGAGAAGGAGCGCGGGCACCTGCCGGGTGCGCCCGGCGCGCAGTGCCATCCATTCCCCCCGGCAGTTCTCCGCCAGCCCCGAGGCTGGAGACAAAGCGCCGGAGCCACGCGCGGCAGCGTGAGCGTCATTAATCGCCTCCCCGCTCCCCGCCTCCGTGCCCGAGCCCTCCGGCGTACCTCTCCCGGGGGCACCTCCGACTCCTGCGGACACTTGCCCAAGCCCAGCTCACTCCCTTCCTCCGCTGCTCACTCTCCCGGCCAACTCTGCAGAGTATATCCCACAATAATAACACCTCACTCCACCCAAATGAATCCGTAGCCTCCGAGCTCTCAGAGATTCTCGGCTTCGAGCAAGACCAAAAGTCCGGGCGTGCAGCGCCAAGTGCACTCCCTGTGGGCGACTGCCCAGACCGCTGCCCACCCGAGCGCCGATTTAGAATCACAGCGGTGCCGCAGAAAGCCGGGCCGGGTAGGGCGCGGGGCCGGGAACAGAGTTGACATCCGAAGAAATTAAAGCGCTGTATTTCCCGTTTGTTCTGGAGATGTGCTATTTTTATTATCTGTAATTCATTTTTTTTTTTTTCATTGTCTCGGGGCACTCACTACCAAAAGGGGGAAAAAAAAAAAAACGAATCATGGAGGAATGGGGATACATTTCCGGAATACCGCCCACCCTTCCTGAGTGAATGTAGAGCCTACTTTTCCAACATTATAGGTCACCAGCCAAGATATATCACTCTGGCTTTCTGCCCCCAGCTGAGAGCAAGGCATTTGATTCTGGGCTTCTTTGCTAGGGTGTTATTAATGTGAAGCAAAATTATAGTTGTACATGCCTGCATGGAATTGCCAAAGCTCATTTTGACAGTATCCAGCATTTCAGTTTCTAAAACGTAGACGCTGAATAACTATGGATCTGGTGCAATGAACGCCCCACAATAAATTGAAGAGGAGAAAATCAACTTTCACCAGCTGCAATTAGTAACCCCATGAATAGACAACAAATAAATAACTAGCATAAACCATGCCATGAAAATTTTCATGTCCTTTTAGTTTCATTTATTGGCATCCATTCCTAATGACAGACATTATAAACAGATTTATTAAGGGATATGCTTCTACTTTTCATAGGAGTGTAATTTCAACAGCTGTATCCGTGTTCACATATACTAAGATATTGATTAAAAATATCACACGGATGATATGTGTAGTTCTAGAAAATGCTATAAAAATAAGATAATGTTGTCCTGGTCCTTCATGAACAGATAACTATTTTCCAAATATTAGAAATTGTCTCCCTTGGGGATCAGTTCTTGCTGGGATAAGAATGAATCTGCTGTATAAGGTTTCAGCAAATGAAGCCCAAAGAATTTAAAACCCTTATGTTGATCTATTTTCTGAGGATTTCTACTCAGTGCCCTCCAAAAGCATTTTGACAGGCATTCCCCAACCCCCTCCTGCCAGTCGTATGGAATTCAAGGGAAAATTAATAAAAAGGTATTTCTTATTCTCTTTCCTTTCTTTCATCTTAAGTCATGTTCTTAAAAAACCTGCTTTTCTTTTGAGGGAAATTGTTGTGCCAAGTTGTGCTGTGTCATAAATTCATACAGTTGGGACTCCATGGGAAGAGGGTCAATGTCCTTGATTTTCCTTCTGGGCAGGGCTACACCTAAGCATGTCTTGAATGGATGGATGGCTAATCTACTAACAAGAAACCTTAACAGCTTGCTTTTTTTTTTTTTTTTTTAAAGATTTTATTTATTTGACAGAGAGAGAGGGAACACAAGCGGGGGGAGCGGGAGAGGGAGAAGCAGGCCTCCCACAGAGCAGGGAGCCCAATGTGGGGCTCGATCCCAGGACCCCGGGATCATGACCTGGGCCGAAGGCAGACGCTTAACGACTGAGCCACCCAGGCGCCCCAACAGCTTGCTTTTAATACACAGTGTTCCTAGAACAACTCTGAGAGTTGACCAAAAAAAAAGGAACTGCATCCCACTCCATCCTATAGATTGGATATAGAAATTGAGTTGGGGGAAGGGGGACTCAATCAGTACTATTAGAATTGATTATGTAAAAGAACAAGATAGACTATTTCAAGAACTTCAGTGTATGAACAACGATGATGAAATTTATTGTGATTTTTCATGGATTTTAGCCTTTATTTTAAAAAGAAAGCACCCCAGCAGTTGGGCGGCTCAGTTTGTTGAGCATCTGACTCTTGATACCAGCTCAGGTCATGATCTCAGGGTCCTGGGCTGGAGCCCCATGTCAGGCTCCCTGCTCAGTGGGGAGTTTGCTTGAGGATTCTCTCCCTCTCCCTCTGCCTGTGCCCCACCCCCCACTCATGCATGCACTTGCAAGCTCTCTCTCTCTCTCAAATAACTAAAATAAATCTTTAAAAGAAAGGAAGAAAGAAAGAAAGCACCCCAAGAAGAATAACATTAACTTGCTTCAGTTAAAATTTTCTACCAAGGGTGCCTGGGTGGCTTAGCCAGTTAAGCGCTGGACTCTTGATTTCTGCTCCGCTCATGATCTCAGAATTGCAAGATGGGGCCTAGTGTGGGCTCTGCAATCAGCATGGAGTCTGCTTGAGGCTCTCTCTCTCTCTCTCTCTCCCTCTCACTCTTGCTCTCGCTCTCTGCCCCTTCCCCCACTTGCACTCACTCTCTCTAAAAATACATAAATAAATCTTTAAAAAAATTTTCTACCTGTTCTCATAATATTTTGTCAAAAATTAGGAACTGGAGAAAGTTCAAATTTATTCAAGTCCATGTAGATAATTAGCATTGGCTCTCCACTTTTAAATTTTGTGTGTCCCAATGTGGGACTAAAATATACTTCTGGGAATATGGGGCAGGCAGTGAGCAATAGGTGATTCTTCTAGACTTTCGGACGCTGTGTTTCCTTAAACAATTTGAAACAGTTGCCATTCCTTCCAGTCCTTGGCCTGTCATGTATTTACTACTAAACTCACGAAAACTGCTGTGCACCTGATTGGGCCCCCGGGTGACAGATCCACAATGCCAGTTGCCGAAGTGTTTATGCACTGAAAGCAGCCCAACTTCAGGGGTAAGAAGTAGTGGTAGTGGGGGAAAAGAAGGCTGTGCTGTTTCTGCCTTCATCTGGATGCTTTTGAATTTATTTGGTATCAGATTGAAATGAAAAAGCATACATATAACCAGGTAACCCCAGCTTGGGGAGTTGAGCTCACCTACACACTGGCAAACATCGAAGACTGTCGACAAGCTCCTTTAAACACATATTCCCCTAAGACACTAAATTAGTGCCCTTTAACGAAGCTTCCAAATTGGATTTTCAAAAGAAGGCAAATAGCTAAAATAGCCCAGCTACCTTCATAAGCACCTTTTCAGCTGAAGCAAGAAGTGGAATTTCCATGCTGTTGAACTTCCATCATTCCTCAACAATTAGGCTGGGAGGAACGCCCCTTTAGGGCATTCTCCCCACCACAGTAAAGGCCCAGAAATCCCCTGGAGAGACTTCTCATTTGTCCTGTTTTCAACAAAACCATCTAGGGTCTATTAAAGACCAGTCTTGGGTTTAAAGCCATACAAATATGCGTGGTGCGGAAAGGCAGGGTAATGAGAAGTGGGGAGGGGGGGAAGATTTGCCTTTCCACCAGAAAAGTTTAGCTCCCCATTTTTATTTTGTGCGAAGCCAAAATAACTCTAAAACACATTTCAGAACATCAACAAAGAATGTTACATCCCGTATGCATCTGAGCCTGAAGAAATGTCACGATCGAAAACAAAGAGGATTTGGGAGACTAGAAACCAAATGTTCTGATGGCACAGAACCCTTGACTGGCAGCCACGTTTCCCCTGCATCTGCGGCACGCAGTATAAGAAAATTATCTCCGTGAACCCTCGGTGTTCTCACCGGCAGGCCACAAATGAACGCTGTCCCGAACACGCACACTGTGATGCTTCACTGAGAAGGCAAACCAAGAAATTTCCTCAAAAATGAATGTGTGTAGTATTTTCACGGCAATGCATCTAAATCAGAGGGACAAGAAGAAGTCGAGAGATGTTTAGAAAACCTGTCACTGAAAAATCTGAGCACCAAAAGACTGGAAAGTCTGTTGCCTAAACTGTGTTCTTTCTTTTCCACATCTCTTGGAATAGAAATGCCCGCGTATGGACACATCCTTAGTATTGGGGGGTTTTGTCCCCCCGGCCCCCAGAGCACCGTGTGTCTTGCTTCTCTGCACTCTCTGCCCCGAGGGGCCCATGGCTTTGGCGGAGCTGAGGCATACGCAGCACACAGCAGAGCTCAGGACGCAGGAGTTCTTTCTGACTGCAGAGCAGGTGTGTGCAGGCAGGACGACTAGCAGGCCCCGTTGACATGGCCAGCGTTGGCACTCCCCTCCAGGACCTGCGTCAGCATGCAGTACTCTCAACCTCCTACACAAAATGATTTTGATTTTTAAAAACTGAGCCCAGAAATGAAGCAGAAGCAATGGGAGTATATATGAGGAGAACAGAGGTAAATGTTAGCCTGCTGAAATGCGGGGAGTGATACCAAGCATAACCTAACGTTTGCCAAAGCTCAGTGTGTCATCCCGCCTCTATTCTCACATTCCTGTTCCTGAGATACAGCATTTTCCTCCATAATGAACACCGTTCTCCTTTTCACTCAAAGGAAGACAAAGGTTACCAAGTTATTCAGAACTTGGAATAATATAGTTGGCTTCTCGACAGTGAGATAATATTAAAAGGTCTCTGAATTTGCCACCACAATAAAGCAGCTACAATCCATCTCTAATGAAACACAGGACATTCGCACTTTAAAACTGTGCTTCATAACTTAAAATAGTGTGTTTGTGTCTGTGTGTGTGTGTGTGTGTATAAAAGGGAAAATATATCCACTATGTTCATATTTCAAAAGAGTACCAAGATCTTACTGGAAACCGGATTGTAGGCCAATACCTGGCATCTGAAGAAAACATTATGGAGATTTGTAATTCTGCATGAATGTACAGCTTGTTCTCCAAAGCTACTCTTTGAAGAAAATTTCTCTCTCTCTTTTCTTAAAAATAAATGTACATTTGCAAAATCTAGAGGCTTATTGTAAAAAAAAAAAAAAAAAGAGGTTGAGGGTCAAAATTTAAAAGGAAGAAAATAAAAATATCTCAAAATACCACCACCTAAACAGCTATCACTTTGGTGTTTAGCCAATCTCTGTGCATATATATCCACAAATATAAAGCAGTGTTTTACATAAATGGATTGCAAAATGCATGTTACTTCATAATCTGCTCCCTGCTCTTTACTTTAGAATAAGTCATGGGAGTTCTTTCCATGACATTGACTATTTCAACATATTAATGAGAGTATAGTAGCCTATTAAATACAAATTATGTGTGTGTTATACATAAGTGAAAACTATTCATGGGCAGGGTTTCCAAATTGGAAGATTATCCTTTTTGGGCAAATCTTGAACATTCGAATTGCTCATCAAAAGTACCTATACTTT